TGCGTCCGTTTTGAGAGAACCGACAACGTCCGCAACGGCGTCCTGTCTCTGCGTGCGGTGAACCGTCTATGCTCTTTCATTTTTCTGAGGAAATAGCCGAAAAATTACAGTGGCGCGGCAGTGAAATAGGTTTTAACACATTCAGGCAACGCCGATTTTTCGATGCTGCCATTTCGGACCAGAGCATATTTCTATTGAGTTTGCGTAATATTTTCTGGCCATCAATGGACCGTATGGTCTGAAATATCAAACTTTTGGGAGGTATTCCAAGAGATGTATACAGTAGTTTTTTCAGCTTGCCTAAAACATTTCATTGTAAACCAGCAAAATTGAAAACTTTGGAAAGCGTACGATCCACCGGTGGGTCGTATTGTCCGAAATGGCCTAACATGTATGACCCACCGGTGGGTCGTATTTTCGTGAATGTCAAATTTTTTTCTGTGCAGAACATCGTTTGAGTACCTTGAATGCATAACGAACTTAAGTAAACATCTTCAAAAATTTTCACGTTTACGTCTAGAGGGACCACTTACTTACCTTTCAACTCCTCGTCGTCCTCTGTTTGCTCTATTCCGTCGACTTTAAGCCTCTGCTTCATAGGTCTCACATTCATTATGTAGTGCATGAAGTATCCAATGAATAATCCAGTCTAAGTGCAAGTGTTAATGAAATTTTCAACCCAAAATTCCAATCTCAGAAAAACTGACAGATATGGTGACGATAATCATGGTTGCCCCATAGTTTTCTATATGCTCACGCAATTGCTTCCAAAACATCTCGTGGGCTTCCATTATCGGTTCCTAAAAAATCAAAGAGAAATTAATAAAACGAGATATAAATAAGGAAGAAGTATCACTAGCTTTTCCGCTAGCTCAAGCAAAAACTATTGAGGGAAGAGTTTATATGGTAAGGAAAAGCGCATCAAACTTATGCGGATTACCGCGGTTTGAACTGTAGTTCTAAGTGATTATGTATAACTATAGAACTTTGTGGAATTTTATGAAACAAAGAGTGAATACGTCAACGTAAGCTATGTATACTTAACATGTCGGCCCATGGAGAAGACCTAAAATGAGCGAAGAAGATTTACGGCTGATTAACTGATGCACAGCCGTTACCTAGACGACCAGTGGGATGTTCGCGTGCGGATTTTGGCAAAGATGAAAACAGGATCAGAGACCTGAGATGGTTGCTTTAATAAATTTTTATCAAAATTATATTTTGAGACGTTGACAATAACGCGCATTTTAAGTCTGTCTTGCGTTGCAAAGCTTTTCAAAGAGAACTCGAGATTTCCAACTATCCACAGTACATCTACCGTACCTACCT